AACTCAGGATCATAAGCCATAAGTCCTACAGATCCTTTATTTTGCATACGCAACACAACAAACAATACATTAACAATTAAACAAATAAAATAAAAAATATATTCAACACAACAAAACATTTTCACAAACACCATGTTTTTCACACAAACAATTTTTTTACAACACTTTTTCATACAAAAAAAAACACTTTTCACACAAGAACAATTTTTACGACACTATAGTTTTCCAAGTCTAAGTCTAATTACTTTAACTAAAATTCTCCAAAAAGTCAAGATCAACCATTGCGATCCCCGGCAACGACGCCAAAAACTTGATCCCGATATTTTTTTATATGTAAGGATTTATGAAATTGACACCACTACTTGAAAATTTTAATCCCTGGTAATGGCACAAAAACTTGATCCCAAACTTGATTCCAAACAAAGTAAGATTCCAATTATATTTTTAGAGATTCTACGCAAGTATTCATATCATTATCAAGTAATATAGGGCTTTTTTATTAAGCCTCGAATATCAATCCCACAGAGATCGAGGTTAATCAACGTGGCTTTCAAGAGTAGTTCCAGTCTAGAATAACACGCCTAGCTTGGAAGGTTGATAAAGTTTTGGTTTTGATTATATCTTAAAATTATCACTACAATACTACTTCTACTCCTAAACTAAAATACTTAGTGAAAATTAGAAAATGGGGTTTAATATATTAAAAGTACTCTTCCTCATGCAATGAAATTAGTGACATGTGTAAAAGTAAAACAAGTAGTGAGAGGTGAGTGACAAATAGGAGCAATTATATTCTTTACCCTTATTAGAGATGCTATAAAAAATATTGGTTAATCTAAAGTTTAAATAGTTCTGAAGATAGGCTAGATAGGGAAGATATTAGCTCTCACTCTAGAGTTCCCTCTTATCCCTTCACCTGGAGGCTAACATTTCGTATCAAAACCTAAAACAATAAACCAAATTAGCGGGCTTTAGCCGTTACTCTAAAGTCCTATAATTCTACACCCATTAATTATTATTTCCTTATTTATTTGAACTCAACTATATGGACTACATTCTCATCCATAGAATCTCATGTGATTCTACCACAGTTGATTAAGACATATCATCCCGGATCTTACATGTTCTCACAACAGATTTTAACATGCAAGTTTATCAATTTTACATGTAAATGAAGAACAAAGTAAAATCATCATAATATATTCTCACTCTACACAATTCTTTATCCTACACATGCATACTAATTCATTACAAGAGGGAAGAGTAAGGAAAACTACTCACTACACATGGAGAAACAACAAGAACTTGAAAACATACAAAGAAAGCACTATATTCAAATCAAAATACAATGAAAATACTTATTTCTGATGAAAATCAAACTCTCCTTGCATAGCAAAAGTAATCTCCTTACAATCCTCTCCAAGAATAAAGTGAAAAGAAAAGAAGAAATTCTCACACTCTCTCTTTCTCTCTCATCTTGTCGCCCCACTTGGGGCTCCGCCCAAGCCTTCTTCCTCTTCTCCAAGTCTTCTTCCCCTTTTCTTATTTATTCAAGAGTTCAAGAGTTCTTTTAAAAGCATTTCCAATCCTTCTTTATAATTTCCCAAGAGATTCTTAAGTGTCTCTTAAAACTGTTCATATTCATTGAATCTTCTAAATGGTGCATGAAGTGTCTCTTCAAAACTCTTTATAATTGCTCCAAATCCTTTTAGAAAGTCCATTTTATCATTTTCAATGAATTCCCTAAAAGATGCATGAAGCAACACTTTGATAATCATCCAAATCTGATGTATATTCTAGAAGATATGTTGAAAACTGTCTTTGGCGCCTAAGCGCCGTTTTTTGGGTGCTTAAGCAACCCCCTCTCTGCCTGGTGGCGCCTAAGCGCCATTTTGGGCTCTTAAGCACTAGGCACAAACACTTAAGTGCCCGATTTTGGTCCCCTTAGCTCTGATGTGCCCCGGTTTGACCCGATTTGCTACGTTTTGGTCCTTTTTTTTTCATTTTGCTCCAATGACTCCAAATTCTTCAATTTGATGTATCTACAACCAAAAACACTAGAAAACATACCTTTAAAGTGCAATATCATTATAAAATAAAGCATAAAAAATAGCACATTTTAGGCGTATCACCTATCCCGAAATTACGTACTAATTTAGCTTTAAAAACTATGACCAAAATCTTAACCCAATTTATATTAAGTATTTAATGTGCAAAATAGAAATATTATATAAAATATATAAAATAGTTCACACACTTGGAGTTCTACGTTAGTGCACGGCTTCAAGTAATATAGGGCTTTCTTTAAAAACCCTAGTATCGATCCCACAGAAAAATGCAATAAGAAATCTTTTAGGCTAATTCTAGTCTATTACTATCAAGTCTTAGTTTGGAACATAAAAATTCTTATGATAACAATATAAATGATAATATTCAAATAATAAAAATTAAAGAAAGAAAGACAAGTTAAAATGGGTTTAATGAATGATAACTGAAATGTAACAAAAAGAATTAATTTTACTAAACTAATTTCTATACTTCAAAGTTAAATTGACTAAGACAAAGCAAAGTTTTTGTGATGAAAAGTTCAAATTTAAAAAAGCATCATTCCTCTTTACAATGAGTATATGGATTGTGAAGAAATTAAAATCATTTGAAAATATATAAAAATTGTTTTGTGCCAAATACAAGGAATCACATTTTTTTACCCTCTTCTGAGTGCATAAAGAACATTGACTAATCCAAAAATTGGTCATTAATTTTGTGGTTAGGCTGAGAGGATACTGGATACCACTCCAGAGCTCCCATTATTCCCTCACCAAAGAGCTAAGAATCTTGCATCAGTTTCCAATCAACTAGACCAAATCAGAGATTTTAATCTGTCACATTAAAATCTCTAACTTTTCATCCAACAAAGTATATTTCTCTATTTATTTGCACTCAACTCTTTGGATGAAAACCTCTCCCATTGAATCAAATGTGATTGTAGAAATCAAAGCCCTTTGGAAACATAAGTTTCTTAGCACATATTAACAATCCAATTGGTCAAATCAAAAAGTAAATGAAGACCAATGTCTGAATCATCACAAAATTTTGACATTTAAAACCGTATAAAACAAAATCAATTCTTCGCACAATCATATCTCAAAGTAGAAAAAATGATAAAGAAGACTACTCAAAATTCATGAGAAGGATACAACAAAACACAAATTTCATATGTAAAAATAAGTTTACAAAACAAAGAAATAAAAACACAACTTATCTCACAATCATTCCCAAGAAAATCCTTAGAAGTTCTCTTCAAGTCTTTCTCTATTTACAAGCACTCTCAATTCTCTCTTAGAAGTGTAATGAAGAAGAAATCTTTCACCTTCCATCTCCTCTTACAATCCTTCAAGAAAATCTACAAGCTCTTGCATCTCTCTCTCACGCCACACCAACTCACACACACACACACACACACGAACACACCACCCAAAACTCCTATTCAAGCCCTAGACTTCCCTCTCGTTTATAAAAGGCTGCCTTCCTCCAAAAAGAATTCAAAATTCCCTCTAAAATTCTATCCAAAATTCAACTCTTTTGAATTCAAAAGACATGTCCATTGATCCAAGAGACATATCCCTTCATAAAAGAACGTTCCAAAATGTCTAGATGCATTGAATCACTTTAAGGGGTGTTTAGAATAAGTGTCCTTTTGAAAATTAGCGCAAAATTCGTCTCGAACCACCCTAATCTGCCAAAAGTCGTCTCTGGCGCATCATGCGCCAGTTCTCTGGATTTTGGCTCATCATGCACTGATTCGGCGCATCATGTGCCACTCTGCAGCATCTCCACCATTTTGCTTCGTTTGGCTCCGTTTCAGATCTGTTTCGCCCTGTTTCAACTTCGTTTCACCCCGTTTCAGTTGTGTTTCGCTCCTAACAGATATACCTACAAAATAAGCATGAAAACAATACTTCTTTAAAATATAATTTCTTTTAAAAACATGTTAGAAATGTAAATTCGATTAAGCATAGAAAGACATATCGAAATATGTCAAGTCATAATTTTCTTTCTTGCTCGTTTTTACTCCAAATTGCACAATTTTTGCTTCATTTTCTCCAAAAGTTCATTTCATATACCTGAAACCAAATATATGCAAAATATCTTCCTTTAAAGTGTAATATCATTAAAAATCATTAAAATTGAGCATAAAATAAATATGAAAATGTAGGTAATTTTTTGGTGTGTCAGTAATTAAAGAGACTAGTCCCTGCAGACGAAGCACAACGTTTCCCCAAGTGAAGGTCAGTTCTGGTTCTTCAATGAGTAAGAACGAAGCAAGTCTCTACTTTATAAAATGATTTAAATTTAAATTTAGGGACCTAATGCTTGTTTTTTGGAGGAAAAAACTACATTATATTGATCGGAAAATATGAATATATGGAGATGTAGTGCGGATGAATAAAATTGCCTCTGCGTCAATGTAACAAAAAAAGGGAGGTCAACAAAGACCAACGAATGATCAAACAAATGAGTAAGAATATCACATTGTAGCACCGTCAGCATAAGATCCAGAAAGAGCACTCACAAACACTCGGCCAGAAATTTTTTTTTTTTTTCTATTCTTTTTTCTCTCTTTTCTCCATCCTAATTTCCTATTGCGTCTAATGCTTTATGTTCAAGCTGAAAAACAAGCTGATAAATATGATCTGCCATGCGAAAAGTATGTGTAGATTGAATTTCATTGACTCTGTAATGATTTTGCCCATTCACTAAGAATATAGAAAAAAGGGTGGTCATTTACATACATACCACCCATTTCTTATGTTTTTGCATAATAACACATAAATTTCAGTTTTTTGCATCGTTAACCGCTTGAAACTTGATTCAAATTTTGGCTAGAATTGAGATCAGATTGACATAAATAAGTCAATCTATTCGTCTCTCACACGACATAAACAAGCCTTATTCCCCTCTTTATTATTCTATAAGCCAACATGAAATATAAAGCTCAGCCAACAATGAAAACCTCCTCATTATTCACAAAATTGTTTCTCACAGAAACAAACATCAGAAAAAAAGCACATTAATTTAAATACAAAAAGCTTAAATAACATCATTCTTCACATTCACCACTCACCAAACTAACTGTTCTCATACCTAAATAAAGTCTTCTATTTACATTCATCTATGAACAAAAAGAGCCATTTCTCAGACAATGAGCTCATTGTGCTTGTGGCTGCTGCTGCTTTCTTCTTCAGTAGGAAGACAATGCAGACTTCTAGGAATTTGAGGGTCAGCCATATCAAACTCTCTTTCAAGGATCGAGCAGTAAGAGGCGAACACGACCGGCGTCACATTGAGATCGAATCTCAAACCGAATAAAAAATCGACCTCCAAGTAGTTCATCTCAGCCAAACTGATCCCCCCCACCTTCGCGAAATAAGCATTGTTGTAGTATCTATAACCAACAAAATTAATACTAATTGTTACTTAATATCACCGAATTAAACAATTTTTTAATACAAATGAATTGCAAATATGTCCATATTTTTATTTCATTTGTATGTATTTTGCACTTAAAGGAGAACAATCAGTTCTACCTAACATGTAATTAGTGACTAACTAGTGGGCCAAATGCATCTTTCTTTCAAAATTCTATTACTTGATGACCTCAATGAGTAGTTATGAGGTGCTATCATGACAATTGCAATATTTAACTTATATATGAGAATTTGAATCTTTTTTTTCTTTTTTTTCATATGACACTATTCTCACATAACAATGGAGCTCCATACTCAAATATAAGGAAATTGTCCTTATAAATAAAATAGGGGCATTTACATAAAAACTGCATAATTTTTATATATTTTCACATCCAACATAAACTTACCTACTTATATGCACAACACTCAAAGCTTTTACATCCATCATCACAATTTTTTTAAAAGTGAAATACATATTTTCAGCATAAATTTTTAATACCAAGATGATACAAATGTAAACATCAAGCTTTAGGCATTAGATATGTAAATGCATAAGAATTATATGGTATAAATAAAAATGGCTTTTTTTCTTTAATTATTTATGAAAAGTTGAGTTGGGATCACACAATAGTTGTCATGTTGGACAGTTGTGAAAGGAGGAACCCCCTGAGAAGAGTACCCAACAAGCACTAGATGGCAAAAACCTCAACTTGTTTATTACAGCTAAGGAAATCTTAACCTAGACGAAGAAGAAGGTGCCCTTAAAACTGTAAATACCAAAAATAAATTACTAGAAATGAGCAGAAATTCTTTCAAAAAAAAAAAAAAGAAAAAACAACGAACATAAATCTCTAAACACTCCCAGATTTCAACCAAATCTCACTTTATATTAACATAAAAAGCCCTCTTTTGAAGTTCTAAGAAAAAGCTCTGAAAAAGCGCAGAAAACAAAAAAAACAGAGCTTGCCTGTCTTCCATGAACTTAACAGCAGTAAGAACCGCAGTGATAAGGAAGCGATGAACGTTGAGAGAATCAACAAGAACTGAGGGATGAAGATGGAGGAAACGATCAAGGTAGATGTATGCCACAGCAAAGCAGGAGGCGCTGCAATGACCGAATTGAAAGATGCGTTCGAGATAACGAGGAATGGAGATTTGCGGTTTCTCGAGTCCGGAGAAAGCAGAAACAGCACTGCCCGGAGAGTAGTGCTGGTGGTCGGAGGCGGTGAAATCATCGTTCCAGCTGGTGATGCGCTCGAGGAGAGAGGAGAGGATGGAGATGATTCGAGGGAGGCCATTGTGGCCTTTGACTGTCAGGAAGGCGTCCGCCATTGTTGCTTGCTTGGTCGTTTTAGGTGTGGAGCAGAGGGCTGAAAAAGGAGAAGAACAGGGGATGCTACTCTGTTTTGAAAAGAAGATTGAAGGCAGAGGGGATTTTATAAGTTGGATCTACCTTGTGTATCATATCCTTATTATTCTTGTTATATTGTTAACAATATATATATATATATATATATATATATATATATACCGTGTCGAGAGTATATATATATATATATCTATATTGGGGGGACGTCAATTTAGTCCTCATATTTTTAATTATGATTGAATTAGTCTAGAGTGAAAAGAGAAATATTACGTATGAATAATATACATGTGGATTTGGTGGTATTGACCAGTACTTAGTTTATATTTGTCTAATACCACCTCATTACCAGCAATTCCGCACCTACATTATTTGTATCTAATATTTCCTATATTAAAAGAGTTTGATGGCTACTATAATATTTTTTGGGATTAAAATGACCTCATATAGATGATTAAAAGATTATTTTAGCACTTTACTCAACCAAAAGCAAATTTTTAAATTGCAATAATATATTTAAATCAAATTTTCATGATAAAAGTTCTTTAAAAATCTGTTGTCATACCTAATTATTTGTTTCTTATGGCCAACTAAATTTAAATTGGTCTCACTGTTGAATCAAATTCATTTCTAGGTGTACAAAATAGTCTTTTCATCCTCTTAGGGGCTGAAAGATTATTAGTCTATCTAATTTAATTGTTTATCTCAACATTAAACATAGATAGCAATTTTTGAAATATCTGTCTAAATGCATAATAAATCAAGTAAAGAAATTTTAATAGCTCTATTATTTTTAAGTGACATTTACATATGCACACAATTTTTATCTATTTACATAACACCTAAATTTTCATATTTGCATGACTAACACTTATCATTTTAACATCACATTAAAAATACCATCACACTTTTTTTAAAAAAGTGAACTTCACATTTTTCATGCATACATTTATGGCACCAAAGTTTTATAAATATAAATATGAAATTATAAATGCTAGAAATGTAAATTCATAAGAATTTTGTACATAAGAATTTACAGTGGGGTTCTATGTAAGGACTCCATCCAAGCAGAACTAGGGAAGCAAAATAAATGTTCCTAACAACAACCTTGGGCTAAGATCTGTGTACTTCTGTTCAACAAAAAGAGCACTCCTGACAATAAGTCTTCCAAAGCTGAGATGTCATAACACCCACTAGGCAAAGGTTATCGATTGAGCCGATGGTGTGTGCTGTAGAATTCATAAAAGCTCTCCCAAAAAAAAGCCCATAAAATGGCATAGTTTTTAATGTGGCAGATTAAAATCTCATAAAACCTATATCTCATTAGTTAATAATTAACACCTTGGTGATTCTTAGAGTAATACTACTTTGGTAAGCCTACTACTAATTCATGTCTAACTAATGTAGATACAATATGATGGTTGTGTGACAAAAAATTTCTATGTGAAAGCCATGAGTTAGTGTAGTATTTTTAAATACTTCATATTATTAGCAATTAGCATACTAAGTAAAAAAATTATAAATTGTATGTACAATCATTAAATTATACTTCACCTTCAATTCAATTAAATATTGAACATAAAAAGAAAAAAGTGAACATGATATATATTACCAGATAATTAGCTAATGTTTATTAGATCATGCTTCATACTATGAATCAATAGAACTTTCTTGATGGTGTAAGTGCCATGAGCTACTGATGCCATCTTCTTATGACACATCTCCTTCAAATCTTAATTTCAACACGGTCGCTTAAGCACCATCTGCATTCACTGGCCTTAAAATGAAGGTCTGCTTATCAAGCAAAAAATTCAATCTGTCAACTTGGAACCCTAAACTGCATTGGATTTACTGATGAAATGAATAAAATACGCAAATAACATCTAGGGCCAGGGTTTTAGGGTCCGTTTGGGGCAGCTTATAAGTGTGGGCGGCGTTTTCAACATGGTCAGCTTGTCCGAAACTGTATTTGGGTTTTTACATGAAACGCAGGCCGCGGGTCGACCCCTGCGGCCGGTCCGTGGATAAGCAGCTTATCATGAAACGCACAAGCTGCCACAAACGGACCCTTAATTACTTTTGCATATGCAAGTTTAAGAGTCCAGGCATGTTGAGATGTTCGTTTTTTTATTATTATTTATCTCATAATTGTTCATTCTTTATCATGACACTAACTTAAATTTCTATGTAATTACATATATAACACCCAAATTTTATTTTTTATATTCATACCACCCAAATCTCTTACATCACGTTAAAAATATCAGTATTTTAACCTTTAAAGAGTGAGATAGACCTTGAATTATAGGTAAGATGGCATGTATGTAAATTTTAAAAGTTAGATGTTAGTTATGTGTAAATAACCAAGAATTGAAGGATATGTATGAAAATCTTACATTAATTTATTTGCTAGAGGACAGTCGCCCCAATGGATCTGCATCTTCCTTGCAACTAGGGCTGTCAAAAAAGCTCGTTGTTCGCGAACAGTTCCTGTTTGGTTCGTCAACGAGTTCGTGTTCGATTCGTTCGATAAGTAAACGAGACAAACACGAACAAATTTTTTTCGTTCGGTTAGTTAAACGAACCAAACACGAACAGTGATGCGTTCGTTCGTGTTCGAATTGTTATTGTTTGAAATATAAAATAATATAAAATAATTATATATAAAAAATTTATTATATTTTAAAACATTAAATTTTATAAATTATAATATATAATAAAATAATAATAATAATATATTAATATACTATAGTAGTAATATACTAATATAGATATTGTATATTTATATAATATAAGTTATATAATTAATATATAATATTATTTTTATATATTAATATTAGGGATGTCAAACTGGCTCGTCGTTCGCGAACAGCTCGTGTTCGGTTTGTGTTCGGCTCGTTCGTTAAGAAACGAACACGAGTTTATTTCAAACAAACTAAATTTTAAACGAATCGAACACGAACACAAGCTTTGTTCGTTCGTGTTCGATTCGTTTACAACCCTGCTTGCAACTAGTTGAACAATACGTTCAGAAAGATATGATGTCATCGAATAAAGGCAATTTCCACAAAAAAATCCCATAAGAATCTGTGGGCGTATCAAACCTATATCGTCTAAGTACTCATTCGTGTATAACCATAAATAATGTTTGATGATTGTTTTTATATATTTGATCTACTGTGAAAATTTCAGTTATTTTTTTATTTTTTTTTTATTTTACGTAGTCTAAGATGGGTAGATTTTTTATTTTATTGGATTTATTTTAGCTATAAATTTTGTTGAAAATAAAATTTAGATAGCCTCCATTCCGATTTCAAATATTTTTAGTTCAAATATTTGAAATTGTAAGATTTATAAGTTGCACTAAGATATTGACGCTATCAAATGAATTTTTTAATAACATAATAATTTTATATATTTAGTATTTTTGATATGTCGTCAACAAAATTTTTTAATCCGGCATAAATTTCAGGATAAATTTTTGACCAAATAACGTCCAGAGTTTAAAAAAAAGCATACTTAATTCTGATTTTAAAAAACTTCTAGTCAAACTAACTGGCTTAACAAGAAGAACACAATGACACTGAAGTTGGTTCAATTCGAGTCAAATCAAGCCTACATTGAGTCGTTAAACCATTTTTGGAAGCTTTTGGTGCCCAATTGAAAAGTCAAACAGATTTTAAATATGACAAGTTTATAGTCAAATGAGTGTCTCGATGAGACGAATCCAACAAGTTTAAGATCATTCAATTCTGAATTTGTTAAGGAACTCAAAAATCCGCAAAATGTTGTTCGATCAAAAGAATTTTTATGGGTTGTCCGATGGAGTGATCAAGATTTTTTCCTTATTTGTTGGGATGTCTCTCCTAGACTCTATAAATATAGCACTATCTCTATCATGAAAAGAGACGAAAACCTGAGCTTGGAGAAAGATCAAAAAGAGAAAGAGCTAAAATCCAATGTTCTGCACCGAAGATCAGGCAAATGCTTCCCACTCCTGTGGCCACCAACAACTGTTTGTCAGCCGCCATTGATCACCGTCAGCAGCCCCATGCTCATTGCAATGAAGAGTTGTAAGGAGCAATGACCGACGTTGTAGAACAACGAAACACTGTGTGGGGTAGGACCGGCGTTGTGGAGCAATGAAGCACCATATTGAGTAATGACCAATGTTGTGAAATAACGAAGCACCGTGTAGAGAAGTATCCAATGTTACAGAATAAAGAAGCACTGTGTAGAGTCACGACCAATATTATAAGGCAGCATGTTGTTATGAACATCTCACAACTACGCACTTCGAAGACGATGTACCAGAATTTTGGCAATGACAACTGCTTTTGATTGTTGTACAACAAGTCCTCCATACGAAAAATGTAATTGTGTGACATTTTCCCACTCGTGGGACAAGAGCACGTATATGTACTCATCAGGCTATAGAAAATTATTTCTTACTGGGTAACGTCCCATGATTTTTTTTCTCTCCAAGTTTTTCACATAAAAATCTCTGACGTCTCTACTTGTCATCTTTATTATTTGAGTATGTGTTGCATTTCATGTAACACTAATCACTTTACCAGCGCAATTTTTCTAACACACATCAATTTGGTGTTGTCTATGGGAAAGGCAATCCGACCACCAAAAAACATGGTGAAACTTTATGAATGACCACCATACGCAATACTCGCAACAATGGAGCTTCTTGCTCTAACACCCATCATTCCAAAGGGCAATTATGGAGAAAAGAATGTCAGGTCTCTACTGCTTCCAACATTGGAAGGTGTTATCCTGTTGGTGAAGTTGCAACGGATCCCTCTTTAGAGGATTGAGTGTACATGATGGAGGAGTCACAGAATGAGATCTTTCAACTCCTACATGAGGCTAATAATAGATGACCACACAACCAGTTCAACAACTATCGAGAAATACCCCTATTGGGTACATTGTATTGAACTACCTCCTCGCGATAAAACCTTTTTTCTTCGTGACACCAACCTTCTCGATACTGCGAGTCCCACTCATCAGTCCCGCATAGCTACACCAACTGGTAACCATGCAAGCTCACAAAAAATTTGGCACAACACATTT